CAGCGGCCCGCCACCCGGCTCCCCTGCGCCGCCGCCCAGCGCCCGCGCCTCCAGGAGCCGGGCCTGCAAGCCGCTCGCGCTCCCCTGTCTCCTCCATTCGGCGCCACAAGCCGCCCCTGACTCCACTCTGCGCTCATCCGCTCCTCCAAGCTACCCACCCTTCCATGAACGCCCGAAAAGCCTCCCCAGCCTGGTCTTGACTCTCGGCTCCCTTCCCCAGCGCTTTCGGGAGCTAAGGCTTTCTTCTCCAGATCTCCCAGTACCGGCTGGCCTCGGAGGAGAAGTGGAACCTGAGTGTGGCCTGGGGAGCCTTGGGGGCACTTAGCAAAGGACGCGGAACCCTGGATAGCGGAAGTCGTGAACAGACTGGGCGCTTCTCCCCAGCCCCTGGGACTTCGCAGAGCCGACTGCCCCGGGAGCACTCGGGTTCCCGCAGGGCCGACGGCCTCTGCTTCCCCAAACACACACCCAGAACTGTGGATTTCTCACCCACTGCTTCCCCTGGGGTAGGATCCGCCAGCTTTACTTTCTGGATTTCTGCGCGGAGCGCAGAATCGGGGCAAAAGAAAATAGGGAAGCTTGAAGCAGAAAAGTGGAGAAAGAGGAGGGAGAGGGAGACAGGAGATGAACAAGGAACAGTCTGGCCGCTCCTTTCCCAAACAGGGAACCTGCTGCCTGAACCTAGTATCTGAGTTCTCCCCAAGGAGAGGCTTTCGCAGGGCCCTGGGCCCTGCCCCCATCGGGCGAAATGAAAAGTAGGCTCCATAGCAAGGGTGAGGGGGCCCAAGGGCCCAGACGTGGGCCACCTCAACCTAAACACGCTCCAGAAGCACACACATTCCCTACCAGCTGTCAGCAGCTGGGGCCCTGCTTACTCTGGTAGCAGGCCCTGTGCCCTCCTAGCTGGGTACAGATACAGATTTCTTATTAGGGCTTCCACCAATTTCCTCCCTTCCTTCTCTCATCTCTACCCCCTCCTTTCCTCCTCCTCTCCCTCTCTCCTTTACCCTCTAGTTCCTTTCACCTCTACTTGCCCCAGGCTCAGCACCGTTGAGTCCAAAACAACTTTGTGACTTTGTGGCCAACTTACAGGCACCCTGCGATTGCTGCTGCTTCCCAATTTAGCTGACCAAAGGGTGCTCCTGGTTGGGGCAGAAGGTGAGTACATACATGCACGCCGCGTACATATGCATGCACACACACACACACACACACACACACAGCAGGCCTCTCTACTCCTAGCCTGGCTCTCCTGCTCTGGGTCAGGCAACATGCAATGCTTGGGGAAAGAAGCCTGTGCGCAGTGACCGCAGGCCTTGTCCCTTTGTGGCAGGGACCCAGGTTCCCTTTCCTCGCCCTGACGTTCCAGGATTCCTCTTGGGGTTTTTAGAATGCATGGAAATAAATAACCAGATGGCAAAGAGCGCTTTCCTTCCCCTCTGTCTCCAGGCTCCAGAGGAGCACAGAGCTGGGACCCCGGCTGAGGAGCCGTTCAGTGCACGGTTAAGGCTCCCAGGACCTGGGACTGGGGACTATGGGAACTCGGGCGGTACGCACACACTCTCCGCCCGAACGAAAGCCCCTCTCCAGCAAAGCAATCAATAAACCCACAGCCCGCCCCCTCCTCCGCGAGTCCCAAACAGAAACTTTCTCCAACAAGCCAGCGAGTCGCGGCTTTCCCGGCGGCGGGGCCCCCGCAGCTCCCACCAGGCTCCACTCGCCCCCATTTCAACCCCTCTCCCCTTCCTCAGCAGCCGAGGTTGAGCGAGGCTGCGGGCCATGCCACTGACCTGTTCTTGGCCGCCGCGGCGCGGTCGCGCTGCCGCCGGTTCTTAAACCAGTTGCCTACTTGTGTGGGAGTGAGGCCGGTGGCCTGCGCCAGTTCGCGTTTCTTGCTGGGGTTGGGGTAGGGGTCCTGCAGGTACCACTCCCGCAGCAGACTCCGAGTCCGCTCCTTGAAGCAATGCGTCTTCTGCTCGCCGTCCCAGATGGTGCGCGGCAGCGGGAACTTCTTGCGCACCCGGTACTTGTCCACCGGGCCGAGTGGGCGGCCGCGCAGCTTCTCGGCCTCCTGGTAGTGCGCCTCAAGCCACATGGCCTGCAGCTTGCCGTGAGACTCCTTGGTGAACTTGTGGTTCTCCAGGATGTGGTAGAGGTCGCGGAAGTTGCCCGTGTGGAAGGCGACCACGGCGCGCGCTCGCAGGATCGACTCGTGTTTGTTGATGGCCTCGCACGCCCCGGGGGCCACCGGCAGCGACCAGAGGAAGCGGCCCAGCCGCTCGATGTCGC